ACACAAGTGAACCAGGCGAGAGCAATGTCAGTGGACCTAGATACGAGTCTCGCCTCGAGGCCAAGTATCTTGACCACCAGGGCAAGACGAAGTACCGTGTCGAGACCTTTCGCTCCCCAGCTGTAATTGGCGCCAGTCCATCATCAAAGGCGACTCTCCGATGCTATTTTGTCTACCAGTGTCAGTTCGCTCAAAGTCCCAAGGAGACGGACCCCAAGGAGACCAACATAGAACGCATTTCGGATGCTGGCTTCTGGCAAAAGGCAACCGAAAATACCAAGCAGATCTATCAGGAAATCATTGAACTCGCCGTCAACCGAACTGGGCCCGTTATTGAGGTCTTTGATATTGAGGATGTCGCCGAGAAGCGACTTGTTGTTGCCTTCCGAACACGTACTGCTCGCGGCATGTTCTCTGCTCTGAGCGATCTTTACCATTACTATGGTGTTACCAGTTCAAGAAAGTACGTAGAGCAGTTCTCGAATGGTATCACCGTGATGAGTATTTACCTCAAGCCCTCATCCCACGCCGATGGCTACTTCCCTCCTCTGGACGAGTCAATTCACCAAATCACCAAGGAGATTTCACTTCTGTATTGCTTGCCCCAAAACAAGTTCCACAATCTGTTTGCGATCGGAGCCCTCAGCCTCCAAGAGGCTGTCTATGCACATTCGGCTTGGGTCTTCGTTCAGCACTTCTTGAACCGACTCGGCCCCGAATATGCGTCCCTATCTGACATGCTGGATATGGACGATCCCGCTCAGGCTGCTCTGCTTTCCAAGTTGAAGCGCCGCCTGCGAACCGAAACCTTCACGCCTGACTACATTCTTGAGATCATTCAGACGTACCCAGAGCTGGTCAGACTTCTCTATGCATCATTTGCTAATGTCCATCTCGGCGCCAAGAATGAGCAGGTGGCCGTCACACCTGCCGTGGACGTTCTCAGTGATGAAAAACTCAAGGACAAGATATCCAAGACTGTTGCAAACGAGCACGATGAGATGGTCATGACTGCCTTCCGTGTTTTCAACAACGCTATTCTCAAGACCAACTACTTCACCCCTACTAAGGTTGCTCTTAGCTTCCGCTTGGATCCTGCCTTCTTGCCTGAGGTGGAATATCCTCGTCGTCTGTATGGCATGTTCCTTGTCATTGGTGCTGAGTCGCGGGGTTTCCACCTCCGTTTCCGAGATATCTCACGTGGTGGTATCCGTATTGTGAAGTCCAGAAGCAAAGAAGCTTACGGCATTAATGCTCGCAACTTGTTCGATGAGAATTATGGCCTGGCTAGTACCCAGCAGCGAAAGAACAAGGATATCCCTGAGGGTGGATCCAAGGGTGTTATTCTTCTCGACCCCAAGCAGCAAGACCGTGCTCAGGAAGCTTTCGAGAAATACATTGACAGTATCCTCGATCTGCTTCTACCAGCTCAGACCCCGGGCATCAAGAACAAGCTCGTAGATCTCTATGGAAAGGAAGAAATCCTGTTCATGGGCCCCGATGAGAATACGGCTGATCTAGTCAATTGGGCTACCGAGCATGCCAGAGCACGCGGTGCCCCATGGTGGAAGTCTTTCTTCACCGGCAAGTCGCAGAAGCTTGGAGGCATTCCTCACGACAAGTATGGCATGACGACGCTCTCCGTCCGTGAGTACGTCAAGGGTATTTACAGGAAGCTTGAACTTGACCCTGCTACTGTGCGCAAGATGCAGACTGGTGGGCCGGATGGTGACTTGGGCAGTAACGAAATCCTCCTCGGCAATGAGAAGTGGACTGCTATTGTTGACGGCTCTGGTGTCATCGCTGACCCTAACGGTCTTGATAAGGATGAGCTTGTCCGTCTGGCTAAGAAGCGTGCCATGATCAGCGAGTACGACATGAGCAAGGTGTCCAAGGATGGTTACCGTGTCCTTTGCGAGGATACTAATATTACTCTCCCTACGGGCGAAGTCATCACCAACGGCACCTCTTTCAGAAATACCTATCATCTTCGTGACACTGGAATGACGGATGCTTTCGTTCCTTGCGGTGGTCGACCCGAGTCTATTGACCTGATTTCCGTCAGCAGACTCATCAAGGATGGAAAGTCCACTATTCCGTATATTGTGGAGGGAGCCAACCTTTTCATCACGCAAGATGCTAAGCTCAGGCTCGAGGCTGCCGGCTGCATCCTTTATAAGGATGCTTCTGCAAACAAGGGTGGTGTTACTTCTTCCTCACTTGAAGTTCTTGCGTCTCTTTCATTTGATGATGCAGGCTTTGTCGAGAACATGTGTGTCGACGCCAAGACTGGCCAGGCACCACAGTTCTATAACGATTATGTTTGTGAGGTCCAGGCCAAGATCCGCGAGAATGCCCGCCTTGAGTTTGAGGCTATTTGGCGTGAGCATGAGGCGACCGGTGTGCCTCGCTCTATTCTCTCAGACAAGTTGTCCAACGCCATCACTACTCTGGATGAGGAGCTTCAGCAATCCGATTTGTGGGGTAACGAGAAGATCCGTCACGCAGTGTTGCAAGACGCATTGCCCAACTTGCTTCTGCAGAAGATTGGCTTGAAGACCATCATCTCTCGCGTGCCCGAGTCGTACCTGAGAGCCATTTTTGGCAGCTTCTTGGCTAGTCGCTTTGTGTATGAATTTGGCAGTGAGCCTAGCCAATTTGCCTTCTTTGACTTGTAAGTTAATGCTACTTCGACTCGATGGAGACATCACGTGTTACCTAGAGAGACATTTTGCTAACAGTATGGCAGCATGTCAAAGCGTATGGCGCAAATCACCGGCCAGCCGAACGGCGCTGAACAAGTAAGACGCATGTCTGTTAGCGGACGCGCAGCCTTATAACGCACTGAGCCAATTTTCGGGGTTGGCTTCTCGCAAAATCCCTTCTTGAGCCATCTCAGGCTTGAGTGAACAGGAGCAGAGTTGAGTTTGTGGGTTTAAATGAAGAATAATTTACAACGTGGAGAGATACACAGTAGCATTGCGAAGGTGCATCATGATATTATTTTACTTCGTATTTTTTTTCTTAAACAGATCTTGCAAGTTTTTTACTTTGAATATTGCTAAGCATTCGGACTGGAGAATAGGTTGGACAAGATTCAAAAATATGGGATAAAATACAGTGAGGTGAAAAGTACGAAAATCCGAGGGATATTGTGGCCATTGAGTTAGACTACCAATACTATACAAACACAATTTGGATCTTACATGGCAATGGTAAAGGGGTAATGGGCCAAAGATATGCAACCTATTTGGTGACTTGCACCTAGGAATAGGTTATGATGGAAAGCTTCTTATTTTCGGCTACGATCTGTTCCACAGGATGAGGTGGCAGTTCGTGTCGAATCTGTCGATCAAGAAAGGGCAGTGGCATGGATGTGCCGCTTGTGCTGTGGTGGTGGTACGAGACAAGTGCGGTTGTACAAATGAGTCGTAGACGATATGACTGGATTGGGTTCAACCTATCGAGGAGGGCCTTTAAGCCAAGGAAAAGGCGGGGGGTCAATGCGCGAATGGGACATGGCCACGGATTATTCGACATCTCATGTAGATTATCTGTGCAAGTAGCTGTCAAATGCAATACCGATAGATGATGAGTAAAAAGGACAAGAGGACGAGTGACAAGTACTTAGGGATGTGTGAGTGTTGCATCGCAGCTGGGATGTGCCGACAAGTAAAGTGCATAAAATGGAGCGACTAGACATGTGCAGCATTGTGTTGTGCGCCAAGGAAGGCAAGCAACGGACCAACCGGGCGCGGATTAACTCCGTAGTACTCCGTCTCACGGCCAATCAAGGCCAGGCATAGCGACTTTGGAAGCGGAATGGGCTAGTACTTGGACGCAGCCAGCCAACGGCCAGGTCAGTCAGGTCAGACATTGAAGCACGATTCACTGATTCTCCTGAGAACGGGAGCATTCAACGTTCAATGTTGACTTCTAGTACTACCTAGTAGGTACTGTGTATGTAGGTCCCTGTCCTTTGTTCCTGCTGCCCCTGCTGCACGCACATGTGCACTTAGTAGTGTTGCGGTAAGTAGAACAAGTAGAATGACCAACTCTGAGTACGTTTTCTTCTCCTTTCTTCTTCCTTTCTTCTTTTTCTCTTTAACGCCGGATACCTATTAGTAGATAAGTACTTGGTGGGTAGTGACATGTTCTCTAACTACCTCTAAGTACCTAGGTACTTAGAGTAGGTATTGGGCACGTACTAGGCCTGCATTGGCACTCCGTACCTTCCTCGTTATAATCTGCCTGGGCTTTAGCGCCGCATAATTCAGCATGAATGCGCTGACTGACAACTCCTGTCTCGCCCTGTCTAACTAACCTGGGCAACTCGGCACGTCTTCTCCCATTTGCATTGCAATTCTATTTAACTCAATTTTACTTGAGTCCAATTCATCTCAGCCCTCTCCGTCGGTTTCTGTTTATTATCGCACAATCAGGCAGCGGCTACGGGCTGTTCGCCGGTGCACGGCTCCCGAAAGCAGAAACCTGCCCAACTTCGAAGTCGGTCGTGACCCCTGGATCCAACAAGCGTCTCCAAGTCTTCCAAGCCTTCCAAGCCTTCAAACCCCCCTCTTCTGCTGGCAGCGCAAAATCTCAAGGCTCGAGTCTCGAGTCTTGCTTCATGTTCACAGCGTGCAGCCTCAGCCTCAGCCAAGGCCAAGCCGAAACAAAGAATTTGTCGATTTCAATTCGGTTTAGCAACGGAGTAGTACTACCCCTTGCTGGTCTTGCGTAGTCTGCACCGACGGCAACGCTTCAGCCCTTTTCCAAGTTGGCCTTTCTTGCAGGGCCGTTGATCATCCAGGATCATCCACTGGTCCCCGTCTTACAATAGTCTTTCGCCCTCCGCTCCCGCGCCATTCTCCTGCCGTCTGCCTCCCTTCGTCCTTTGGAACCATTGTCCTTTGTCACTCGACATCGACCTTCGACATCACTCGGAGCACAATCCGCCGTGTCACTTGGCGCACCGGGTTCTCGGGGCCACAGCTTTGAGAATGACGAGGCCGTCAATTATTCGTGCCGGTACGTTTCCATCCGCCTTGTCTGTCCCCTGGTCTCTTTCTTGTCCATCTGCTGTCATGCCATGCCTTGGCCCTCCTTTCTCCCCTCATACCCTGGTCGCTCTTGTTTCCAACCCAGGATTCGTTTCCTCGCGACCGCGCACGTCGGACCCTTCACGCCGTTTAGGCTGTTTCGTCTGCGACGGATCAGTGCATTCCAGCCGCCTGCCAGCTTGCCTGATCTTTCCACTGTAGACACAGATCCAAAATTTTGTTTTGCTGCCCTGCACAAGCAAGCCTCGACTGTTGCTAACTTCTCTGTGCTCGCTGTCGCATCCAACAGACACCCTCGACCTTCAGGATCACGTTGCACCGTCGGCAAAGGACCACCACTCCAACCACTCTCACCTCTCCGATACGCTGCCTGGCGCTCCGGGCCTGTCAATTGCTCCTCACCAGGCCGAGACACTTCGTGACGTCGCTCTAGAGACTGCCGCAGCCGAGGCACATAGCCCGAGGGTGTCTTGGGCCAACGGAAAAGCCGACGACGATACCAGTGACTTGCTTCAACAGTACGCTGACGACCATCCAGCTGCAGCCAAGCACGACGTCGCCGAAGGTAGCCTGGATATCGAAATGTATCACCACGAACAGCAAGACGCCTTAGCCATTGCGCAAAATGGCGGCGTCTCATCGGCAGATGAAGATGACCTTGACGCCGACGCCGACGATTTAGATGATGATATGGTGGACAAGATTTCCAGTTCTCCCTCTATAGAAGACGGTGCGTTGAACCCTGTTGAAATGCCAGCGGCTTGGCCGCGGCGTGAGTCCTCGCTCACGTCACTTACCCGACAATTGGATATTGCGAACATGCCACTCGAAATGGTTGAGCCAGTAACCGTAGGCTGCGTCAATCCCGAGCAGGCTCTCCCCGTTCCTGAGACAAGTGTATCACAATGCAGCAAATCCGAGTCTGTTGCTGAGTGGCAACATCGGTTCGATTCTCGACGGCAATATACATGGTCAAACGTGGGCAGACGTTGGGATTGTGAGGAAGAATGCGAAGGCCTCACCGAACCTGAAATCGGACATCTCAATAGAGCTAGTTGTCAGGAAGAGGATTGTTTCCCTTGTGTCATCACAGACCGGCCCGAGAATTCGGCGCGTCTTACCAAGGCTTAGAGTCCCTTGCTCATGCGTGCTCGACCGGATTCGGTTTTTGAAGCACTCTCCTTAGACGCCTGTCGATTTGATAATTCTCCTGCATCCCCTTGTTGCGATGGCTCTCGTAGCGCAAAGTTCGCTAGCTTCGATGAGAATTTTGGGGCCTGGTTTGTCCCGACTGACTCTCAATGCTTTGCTGAAATGGAAACCTCGGGAGACCGTCATGTATACTCTATTCATTCACCATCTAGTCACGCTGGCTTGCTTGAACCTTGTAGTGAGGACGAATGCTTACTTGAAACAGAGGATATCGACTTTGAGTTCGTTTATGCTCTCCACACCTTCGTCGCTACCGTGGAAGGCCAAGCGAATGCCACCAAGGGCGACACAATGGTACTTTTGGATGATAGCAATAGTTACTGGTGGCTGGTGCGAGTAGTCAAGGATAGCAGCATCGGTAAGTGTCAATCCCACACCCAATATGCCGTTGTCGATAACCTTTGCTGATATGTAATGCATGTAGGTTATCTTCCTGCTGAGCACATAGAAACGCCCACTGAACGACTAGCACGGTTAAACAAACATAGAAATATTGATGTACGTGCAAATCCAATACCAGCAACAGAATCCCTCGAGACTAATCAATTCCAGCTTTCTGCAACTATGCTCGGTGACCAGGCACAAAGCAAAAAGAGCTCATTCAAATCCATGCGAAGGAGACGGAAAACGGTGACATTTGCAGATCCCACCTATGTTGATTATTCCGACTTCGATTACTCCACAGATGATGAAGATATCGAAGAGTTGTTCGGCTCCCAGACGAATACACAGCATCAAAAAGAGCAACAACAAGATAAGCAAAATGGCGCGGAAGATGCCATTACGGATGAGACTGCAAAGGTTGAACCTCTTAAAACTCGGCCATCGAATGAGGAAAAGGTTGCGACGGAGTCCGTCAAGGACGTACGGACAGATGATGACGATACAAGGAGCAGCGAGGAATCCATTGACGAAAAGCCTGAAGGTCCCAGTCGGTCGAGGAACGGAACTGTCAGAAACACTGATTCGTTCTTCAAAGATGAGAGTGTGGAAACTAAGAAAATTACTCTTACTCCGAATCTCCTGCGCGACGACAATACACCAAGACAATCCAGTGACTCAACTACTAAGGATGCTAGATCAGGGTCAAGCTTGGACAAGATGGACCGGGAACTAGTTTCCGACAAGGAAAAGAAGAAAATGAAGGACAAGGATAAGAAGGACAAGGATAAGAAGCCTGGCGGTCTTCGGGGTTTCTTCTCAAGAAAAGATAAAAAGAAAACTTCTGAAGATGATGATGAGTCGTTCGGCAAGCGATCCATGGATATTATGTCTGAATCACGAGATAGCGAAGACCGCTCTCTGGAGGAACCGTTATCGCCAGACCGCGCAGCATCTCAGAGACAACCCTCCAAGCTTCAAAAGTCTGCGCCTAGCAACAAGGCAGCAGGGGTTGTTCAGAAATCGGTTGAACTTTCGTCATATCTTGCTGAAGGTAGAACAAACGATGTCTCAAGCGTTCCACCAGCATCTATGCGGCTTGTCGACCCTGACACGAATGAAGCGCAAGACGAGCCGGTAAACCAGACACAGACTCAAGACGCTTCTAGGGAGCGGTCAGCATCATCGGCTGGTCAGAAAGAGGAAAAGTCAGTCATGTCTAAACTTGTGCCTTCCCGAAGCGCTGGTGACCCCAAACCGCAAAAGACAGTAAAGGCCAAGATGCGCATGGAACTTGATACATCTGACAGCTCCGAGCTTGAAGAAGCTCCCACGGTGCGACCAAATGCGGCTTCTGGTGCACTTGCAGAACCGGAACATCAAAATCAGACCGACCAACCCACAAGATCTCGTGTTGACAACTCTCAAACCCCTACGACGGCCGGAGCTGCTCGCGCCCAGCAAAGCCCCATAGATCAAACTCTCGAGAGAAATGGGTCGTCTTCGCCTGCCAATGCATCCAATCCACCTGCGCTCATGGTCGATACTTCGTCGCCGGAAGGCGATTTGCCAGAAGCTTCGCCATCGCCAGAGCCTGAAGAGACTGTTGATGATGTTGCTAGAGAAAGCAGCTCCGCCAGCAGTGGAAAGGAGGGGGCATGGGATGACACAAAGCTTCGGGCCTTCTTTGATGAAAGCGACCACATTCGGGACCTCCTGGCGGTTGTGTATGATAAAACAAATGTTGAACCGGCAGGAATTGACCATCCTGTCGTCGGCGGACTCTTCCGAGAACAAAATGCCAAACTGGCAGAAATTACGACTGTAAGCAACAGCCCGTCCACTACATGGAAGATGACAGCACTGATATTTGAGTTCTGCAGCAACTTGACAATATGCTCGGAGATTGGCTTGCCAGAAAGCAGCGTCTTCGCGGCACCATTTAAATTTTGAGCAGGGCGTTTGAATAACAGCTTACTGCGAGCAGGAATTTAGTCATGCCATGATTGATACTCCCGATCATCTTTTTTGTTGTATATTTTGCGTTCACACGAGATACCAAAGTTATCCACATTGCAACGACTTGCTTCTTTGGCATATAGGCATCTGGGCTGAAGAGAACAAATACATACACGTCTCTCATCGGCCACTACGGCGTCGGGGTCTGAACTGATTTGAGTTGAAAAAGCGATGAAGTGGCACTTTGGAATGCGGGCCGGAGATTTACCCCCGCCATCTTTCAATCCCGGTTCTTCAGTTGCCCTGCTACTTGAGCTTCTTCCTCCCCTTTTTTCTTATGGCTTCCAATTCTTGGGTTGCTCCGGATGTTTTATCGGGATATTAAGGAAGGATAGACATGCTGATATGAGATACTTGCACAATGCACATACAAAGAACCAATTATGGAAGATTATCCCATGCAGAGCGATTGGCCTCTGCTTGGTATCACTCGTTTCTTCTTATAACATCTTTCTTTGTCTTCACGGATGGACCTTTCATTGGTCCCTTATCCATTTTTGAAAGGCCAGGTTTGCAAGCCTTCTCTCCAAGCCGCAACTCTAGGTTCCTGGACCGGCGACGCAGGGATTGGGCCGTGCGATACCTGCACGCTTTTGTTCTACTTTTTTCTTCTTCCTTTTTCTTTAGGGGCTTATTCTTTTTTGGATGGTAATCTGCAAAGAATTAGCAAATGCAGACCTTGAGAGTCTAGCACGGGAAAAGGAGTAAATAGTTTTGTCAGTGAAATGTGAAGCTGTAGAGCTCTACGGCCTCGTCACATAAGGACATTTGTGGTCATATGCGGGATGGAGGATTGTACAATATTGTATAGTGTATACTGCATAGATGCAGAGGGTTGCAAATACGAACAACTGTCACTGCTTGCAATGGAATGTACGCGAGCTGAAGTGAGAATTGCATATCATTGTCCACGTTAAAGCCTAACCAACCCTTCTCGTCAGTGGACTGTGCCCGAGACAGTTATTTCCATGCGTTACTTACTACTAGATGTATCGACAGCTACCGACGACGTTTGGAGCGGACCAAATGAAGCCAAGGGCCGGAATTCTGCGCTTCTAGCCATTCATGCATTTGCTTGCGATGAGATGAATGCTCGGCCTACGCTTTTCTTTGTCTCATCATTTCCAGCTCAAAGGAGGTTGCTCATTTCCCATCTTGTCCTCAACGTATGGCATGCAGTTCAATACCAATGCTTCAACTTTCACAAAACACTGGTTTGAAGACATCACGAAGCGACACGTATCACAGGGTTAATTCTGTATTCCGATGGAGAAATAACTTCCATTGCGTCAAGGGGGCATGTATCTCATTTTGCGTTGGTCCATTTCCCCCACCAGCAAGATCTAGGACGTGTAAAATTGCCAATATAACAGGAGAAAATGGCCAATACTACTTTTCGCTGCGTGCTGATGCCACAGCCCGCAACAGTTTATCACTTTTGTTCACTCTTCATCACAAAAAAAAAAAAAACCAAAAGGATGGAGCAGCTGGGCCTTGACATGTTGTGTTTTTTTGGGTGATAACGCAAAGACTCAATGATAAAACCCCCAGTCCGATGCAATCCGTGAAAGCAGTCCCAGAACCGATTTGTTTCGCCCCCCAAAAACTCATTTACACCTCGGTAGTGACCTTTGCCTTGGCATTTGTGACCTTGACTCCTAACTGCTTAGCACGGGCGATGATGTCAATTCGCTTTCGGGAGGAGACGGCGCTGGCAATCCTGCAGGATGACTAGTTAGTATGGGTTTTCTCTCCTGCCTCTCTGTCCCTTTTCGTTGGATAAATGCTTCTTGGTGGGCCTGAGGAAGTTTGCCGCAAACCCGTCTTTTGGGGGGG